AAAAAACAATGTCAGCAGAAGAGCCGCTCAGTCACATGATCTGCCTCAGCAGATGGAGCTGTCCAGCTGTCGTCGACATGTTTACGTTCAAATTAAAAAATTGTATCAACATTTCAAAACAATTTCATCTATGATGGCCAAAAAGTTTTTAACAAGCAAGAGTCAACACCGTCTCTCGTAAAGAGAGATATTACACTGTTCAAAAAACAATATACCTGGAGTGGTAATTTGTGCTGTTTCAGCAAAGGCACTCATAAATATATAAGAAAAGACACATTTTGTACAGTCATTTGACTCCTCTGCCAGCATTTGCTGCTTTCCTGTCAATAAAGCTAATTTGAATTAGTTTTTGACGAAGAGAAAAAGTGACGAAGATAGAGAGAAAGAGAGAGAGCGAGAGAGAGAGCGAGAGAGAGAGCGAGAGAGCGAGAGAGCGAGAGAGAGGCTTCACCTCCCTCCAGATACTGAGAGTGTGAGTACGTGTTTCTTACTTTATCTGTCTGGACCAGATGTCACCAGATGCCTGCTGCTGCCAGCCTATCTCAGCCCACACGCACACACACAAACACACATGCACACACATACACGAGTACAACACACAAACCTTCTGCCACTTATGACATGCTATACTTCCTACACGTCGTCCTATCTGCAAACTAATCTAACTGCAGACACATCTAGTTGAAAATAGCCGATACATGAATGTGGAATATCAGTGATTGCACCAGGGAAGAGTAGACCAGATCGGCTGTTTACGCCACAGCAAATTGAGGATTGACAGACTTTAGATGTACTTTGACAATGACTGAGGGTGAAAACAAGAGTCAGAAAGAGATGGAGGGAGAAGCGAAGTGACAGAGAGAGAAAAGAAGGGTGAGGGTAACGCACCGATGAGAAAGAAGGCCACCTCCATGTGAAGGCTTTAGATGTAACAATGGGAGATAACTATCAAACAGAAGAGTGGAGATTATAGGAATGTCTTAAACATTATCTTAATGCATTTTAAATTACTTTTCTTGAAATTGTCCTAATAGATTTTTTGTCCACTTTGACGGAGTGGAGACACTCTGTGAACTCAACGGTGACATAATACCTCCTTTTGAGTCGAAATGTTGAACTCAGAAAACATTTGCTTATTTACACATCCAGCAGACATGGAGCCACATCAGCATTCATTTGGCCGAATGCAACTGGCCGTTGCGGCGATGAGGGTTGTGATACTGAATCAGAACAGAACAGTTTTGGGGCGTAAAAACCAAACAATAAGCTGAAAGGAGCTTAAACCCTAAATAGAGCTGAGAACTGAAGAGAAGGCTGAACATTTTCTCTTGGTGCATTGCTAGAGCGACCACTTTCACTTTATACAAAGCAACGGGATCAAGTGTTACTTTAGAGATATGAATCGTATTCTTTTTACTATTTTAAAATACAAAAGTGACTCTACTCAAAAGTGGACTATTTTGAATACCAATTGCGTATGGTGAAGGCCAATGGTACATCATGACTGTGGCCACATCAATACACCATCCACTCCCCTTTTAATACACCGATGCTCTCCAGAGTAAAAAAAAATTTTCTTTATAAGAAAGAGATTGATTTATGCCAGGAAAAATAATAAGGTCCAGAGCATATAAGTGAAGTATTCTACTGACTTGCTACAAGACTCCAGGAAGTGAATGCGTCCAGACACAAGTTCCATAGTTCAACATCTTTGCGATATATTTGTTATGGTATTGGGTTTTGTTTAGTTTATTTCCTGTTTTACTTTGAAGTTTCCTGCCTCTTGTGTGTTTGGTTTTACTTCCTGTCTTTCCACCACACCTGAGTGTCATTGGTTGATTGGCCCCTTGTCTATTTAGTCCTTATGTCAGTGTCAGGTGGTCTGCCTTTCTTTGCAGATATCTAAAGTCCTGGATCCATCCCTCGTCTTCCTCGTTTGGTTTCCTGCCTTTTGCTGTTTTACCAGCTTTTGTTATTAAAGCTATAGCTTTCTGTTCAGTTCAACCTGCCTGCCTCCAGTCCTGCATTTGGCTCCTCCTGTGTTAAGACATACGTGACAATATTGTCACCAGTCATATTTGGATTGCTGGCATTGACTCCAGCTGACGTTATGTATTCACAACCTAAGCTTGTTAGGTCGGGACAAACATAGTCAAGACGTGCCGCGGAGAGCTTCGTTGTTTGCAGCTAAGTGTCAGCAAGATGAAGGATAATATTTCAGACGGATAGAGACACCTGTCACCGTCTGGGGTGAGGAGGTGGAGATGGCGCAGTCACATCAACAGTATGGACAGATCTGACAACACAGATTCACTCTAAAAGAAAGAAGACGGACAAGTCGCCGTGTGGAGTTCTGCTGTTGTGCATAGGGAGGAGATGTCAATACAGATTCATTTAACTGGCATTATTATGAAGCTGACCCTGGGGCAGCCAGGGGGTGGTGGCAGAAGGAAGGGTGAGGTTCAAACTGACCAACGTCTTGGCAAACAACTCCCAATCTCTTCATGTGCTTGTGCAGCAAGAGAGCAGCTTTTAGCCGTCGGCTCAGCACGCGAGGTGGTTTGTAAAGGCGCTCAGTTTTCAGCACCACTGTCTTCTTTGTTAAGAAAGTTGTGCCACTGACAGCCTGTTTTCAGACAAAAAATCCACCGACAATGGAACCTGAATTTCTGCAGACGCACAGTATAAACAACAATGTGGCTGTTAGGAATCCAAAGATTTATACGACACCGCTCACCATGTGCACACGCACGTTTACTGACCATGTGTGCCCTTCGGACTGAAGGGAATTCAAAGATTCTATTCACAGCTGCCAGTTCATAAGACGCCAAATTCACAGAAGCTTTTCAGTGTCATCCGTGAAAATGTAACAAGGTCAAATAAAACTGCTCAACATCATTTTCTTACTCATGCATCAATTGTGTTACCAAATGGGGAAAAAAAGTTAGGAGCTGAAATCCTCCTTCATGCAAGCAACACACTGCACATCTTTACCTTTTCATGGTAGAAATAGAGGCAAATACCCCCCCCCCCATCTTTCATTTACACTGTTGAAATAATAATGCAGTCTCATTAACATCCCATTTATAGTGTCATTTTAAGGAGTTTAATCTTTAATCCTTGTGATGCATTGCTTCAGGCTTTTTGAAATGATACCAATTAATTTCACAATTAGAATTATTTCATATGCCTTTAAGAGATCCAACAGCCAAGGTGTCTTTACCCCTAAAATCATTATAGTGCAGAGTGATTATATAAGCATCCTACTGTTTTCTGCTGCTACCAACTGTGTTTGTACAAGACTTTATGAGGCAAATGGTCCTTTTACTTTTTCTTTCCGGGAATCCAAAAAGTATTTATTTTTTAATTGAATTATTTATATAAATATATATATACTATATATATATATATATATATTAAATATTAGACTTTGCAAATTGTGCAGAGTGAAAGAACTTAGTCCACTTAAATAACGTCCCTGAACATTTTATTCAGTTCACCTTCTTTAAGGTAAACAAGGACGTGTAAATACGACAGAAAACACAAAGCAAGCAGCAGCAGCAACACTAAACACAACCGCTTCCTTAGGAAATCCATTTGAATCTTAATCTCAGCAAGTATACAAAAAAATGCAGCATGGGTAAATAGAGTGCTTCTAAAGGTTTCCATGCTAAATCAAAGGCAGAGCCAGAATGTGTGTGTGTGTGTGTGTGTGTGTGTGTGTGTGTCTGTTTTTTTTGTCTCTACCGTGCGGATATAGACATTTATGCAATGAATCACACACTAAATCAGTTTTATTTGTGCTCCTTGTCTCAGAATGCGTTTTTTACTTTTTAATAGGCTGGCTTCAAGTGTGTGTGTGTGTGTGCGTGCGTGCGAGGGCTCATGTGAGTGCATGTACTCAGTCATGTGTGTATGGCTGGAGGCAGAACTGTGAGTGCTATTAGACCTGGATATTGCAGCAGTAGCTCTCGGGAGCTCAATACACTTCAATGCGTTTGTCATATATTTATCAAAAACGGAGCCTAAACGTATAATCTAAATCAGAAAAAAAGCTTAAAGTGCCATTATCGAATCCAGCCCTGGGTCAATCTCTATGCTATACATTAACTTCTGCAGCTTCAGTGTTCTTATTTTTTTCCGAATGACTCTCAAGGACAGAGTTCTTTCTTACATCCACATCTGTTACCTGTATCTCCACTTATAAGTCGCATGAAATCTAAAGTAAAGAGGTGAAAATTAAGCAAAGTATGGTTTACATTTTGCACTACCGTGTCATTTGCAAGTAACATCCTCGTTTTAAGTGTGAACTGAAAAAAATAAATACTATTTTCAGCCAAAATTATCTGTATTATGCTTCCACGCCTGCTTCTGCGAATTGTCAGACAAAGACTCCACTTGCAAGTTCAAAGCAGCCAGGAAGTTATCCCCAAGTGGATATTTGCCATTGTATCAGTGAATAACAGGTTGATTTCACCTCTCACAAGTTTCCCCTCTGAGACAACGAGTACATCCTTTAAAGGCTGACTGATACACACACACAGACACATACACACACAGTGCTACAATATGTGCTGTAACTTGTGCGGTGATGCTCAGACAGACTATGTTCATCCATATTCTAATTAAGACAAAGTAAACCGGGACATTTCCAAAGTTAGTCAAATAGGGCAGGCCGTTTACAACCCTAGTCTTTCATGTTGTAATGAAGGAGACGAGACAGGACGCATATGAAGACAGAGAGAGCGCAGTGATTGGAGTGAAGAAAAAAATAAATAAAGAGCACCAGAGAGAGAAAGAGCGGAAGACGGACCACAGATGAGAGAGAGATACCGGGGCTAGAGATGGACTGGGAGTACAGACGGAGTGAGACGAGCCAGAGCAGACAAATGAATAAACTTAGCAGCAGTTAAAGGATAAAAGGCAACAGAGAGAGGAGGAAGAAAACAACTACAGTACATAACAGCAGAGAGAAAGGGAGTAAAGGAAGAAGAAGCAAAAAAAAAAAGAAAACAGAGAGATGCAGAGGAAAATGGAGAGTCAGACAGAGAAGGTGAAAGAGATGTAGAAACGAGGATATTGATTGGTTAAAAATGCATGAGGTGTCTGGTAGGCAGCACCCCATTGCTAATGCCCTGTGACCAGACAGTCTGAAGCACAAGCATCATCTCCCTGAATAACTGTACATGTTTTTATAACATGCTGTCAGTCGGTGAGTCAGTCGGGCACTCGGAAACACAGTGAGTAATGCATTGTGTAACTTAGTTAGTTAGTCAGGAGATAAATTATTCATACCATATCATATTTCATGTGAAAAATGAGTCTGCTCCCTGTTGTTTTAAAGCCTATTTTGTATTTCTCTCAGCTTTGGCTATTAATGTCACAGTTACCCAGTTTTATTGGCTTTTGTCGATCTGTCTCTGTCTCTCTCTCTTATATGACTTTAAGGCTTTTACTTTCCTGTCAAGTGTTTTATAACGTAGTTTAAGCAAGATTAAGAGTCTACAGCCATGCTAGCTGCTGACATTAATTGGCGGAAGAATGATTATTTGTTATCATTAAATTATTGCTTTTTTTGCGTTTATTTTATGAAACCATGCCCGGTATATGTAACTGTTTTATAAAAGCAATCAGCAACTGAAGGCTGTGATTAATGGGGTTTATTAATTGCTTAAGTCTAACATAATAAAAATATCAGAAAATAACATAATAATGTTAACTGACCTGATAGTTATTTCCTCTGGATAATAGTCAGTCAGTCAGATTGCATTTCATATTAATCCCTGAGCTCTAATTGTTCTTCCTGACACTGTGACTTTAATTTCCACTTCCTCCCTGCTCTCTGCTGTCTTTCCATCTGTCTGGCCTGCCTTTGCCAATTCTGTGTTTGCGAGTGTGTCTGTGTGTGTGTGTGTGTGTGTGTGTGTGTGTGTGTGTGTGTGTACTGTATACTCTCCAGTACATTTCCAGGTCTGTGAACTTGCATCAAGACAGCGTGGTTTGGCGAGCAGCGACCAGCGAGTGCCAATGTGACAGAGAGAACCGCATGACCGGCAGATCAGAGTCAAGATGAGAGCAATATCACTTCCTAACAAAGCCAACATTACTGCAGAGGGCACACGGGCCACTCAGGTACGTGTTGGATACATCCACCTGGCCTGCATTCCCATCAGTCTGTTTCTTGTGAAGAGTTGTTCACAGCCAAATAATATGTTTGTTAAAGCTGGCTTTGAAAACAAAATGAAGAGCCAACACAAAATTAAAATGGGCTTTTTGGATTTGGGTGGCCAGAAATGTCAAAATGTGTGAATGAAATCTTGGAAAACAGTTTCTTTAAAGTCTGATGTAATAGAAATACATTTGTTAGAATAAAACTTTCAAATGGCAGACATTTTTCGCTCAAAGCGACAGCAGTGTCCTGCCCAAGGACACCAAGAAATGTGGACACGCAGAGACAAACCACTAGAATAAAATGGTAAAAATGTGACAGATTCAGATGCAACTTTGCATTGTGGGAAGTCATTTTATGTTCTATTCTATTGTATTCTAAAAAATTCGGAGTAACATTTTTTGACGGGTGTAAAAAAGCCTGCAGGCCCGTTGGATTTAGCCGATTTCGTGTTAATACACACATCAACTCCACCGGTTGACATAATTATCTGAAATTTTCTTGCTAGCACACGCAGACTACAAACAGCGTGTGTGTGTGTGTGTGTGTGTGTGTGTGTGTGTGTGTGTGTGTGTGTATGTGTGTGTGTGTGTGTGTGTGTGTGTGTATGTCTTATCCCATCAGTAGTATAGCTGTGGGCTGGTTTACATTTGCATAATGAAGTCAATAACACTGGCCTCCTGGGAGGGAGAATGGTGACATTATTACTAATTTAATAAGAAGAATTGAGTGTGTGTGTGTGTGTGTGTGTGTGTGTGTGTGTGTGTGTGTGTGTGCGCGTGCGTGCATGTGTGTGTGTATTTGGGGAGGGAGAGAAACAAAGATGGCGCAGGACAGCGTGTGGTAGAGAGAGATAGAGATAGAGCAGAGCGGGAGGTGAAAAGGAAGGAGGATGGAAAGAAAGGGATTTCAGGAGCAGGAGAGAGGGGAGGGAGGAAGTGAAAGTAGAACAGGATAGGTTGAGGGAAAGAAAGAGGAGATAGAGATAGAAAAGACCAAGAGGTGAGAGTGGAAGGAAGACAGAAAGTTAGAGAAGCAGTTCGGGCGAGGTACAAGGGGAGAGAAAGCAGGGAGACGAAACACAAGGGCAGGTGAAGGAGTCATTAATGAAGAAGCAGAGAGTCTTATGGAGAGACAGAGATGTATGGTTGATGTGTAACTGTTTTGTTCTCCACCTCTGTTTTATTCACAGACTCGGTGCCCTCGCAGTCCTCTGGTAGCTGCAGCCCTGGGGCAGCATCGCTAACACAGAGCATGAGTCTGGACCCAAAAAACATGTCTGGTTGAAAGCCACGCAGAATTTGTATTCATTTATTGAAATTTTTTTGCAGCCTGTGGTGGAAGAAGTGTTCAGATTTTTACTTATTAAGGAATACTTCACCAACAAAATGACCTGTTGTACAACAATTATTCACCCCGTGGTACCTTGAATTCTTGATAAAAGAAAAACGTTTTTCTTGCCTCCACGATGAACAAAAAAATAAAAATAAATGAGATGAATTTAAGTAAATACTGGCCACAAACAACTCATGTCGTATGCTCACACATGCATCTTATCTAAAACCTCGTGTAGCGCGCCTCCGAAAGCGTGACACTATTTAAATCTGATTATATACATTTTCAGAGAACTTGTCCCTTGTCTCGCCTTAATACTTAAAACCGTAGTTACATTCCACCACCGTTTACAGCTCACTCTAATTGTGTACACTATCACATATCATCACATATTAACGAACATTCTCACCACAGCATGAAGGATTTACCGTATTTATTCCCTTCTCCTGTTGCTGTGAAAATGACACCTGTAGATGCACACCCCTGTGTTTAATACCTCTTCTGTCAGGTTGGGTGTAGAGCTGTACGTTAAGGGTGTTAATGAACTTCATGAGCAAAATTAGAGGTGTAACATCTCCCACCCTGACAGCTGCAACGAAACCTCTTCTCACTGTTGTCTCTCATCACTCAACATGAGCGTCACAGAAGATACAACCATCTCGTTAATTTACTCTTTAGATCAAATTTCACTTAACGGACTCTACAAATGCTTTCTTCCTGCACATTTTTATCTCCAGCATAAGTCCAAATATCGTTTAGTATTCACAATCCTTTTTTTTATGGCCCGTCAAGCGGATCATTACATCGAGTTTTCAGTCTTGCTGCTGGAATCCAAGAATATCTGCACTTATCTAATCACTTGAATAAATAGAACATAAAGCAACACATTTCGAACTAGTCGGCGTGATGACGTTCTCATTTAGCCACATGTCGAGAGGGGTATTTACTGACGTATTTTACATCGTAGAACAAAACCTTAAAATCTCTTCACCTTGTGTTCAGCACAGACCTTATATCAAACATTTGATCAAAAACCCATCCAAAACACCTCTTTGAGAGACTTTGAGACGAGGGAACCAGAAGTGCAAAAATACCAATTTGCAGATGTTCGGTCTCATTCCTGCAGCCCTCTATTAAGATCTAAATGTGGGTCCACCATTCCAGTTCTTCATCCTTCTCCTCTTTGAGTTGTTGATGGTGAAACCAGTTGTACCAATTCTGTTATATTATTAAGAGTATCATATACTTTACAGATATGGGGTTGTTTTTGTCAATGGGACGGTCAAAAGAAAATATCAATAATGCTCGGGAGGGCCTTGTTTTTGCGTGTGTGTGTGTGTGTGTGTGTGTGTGTGTGTGTTGTGTCCTCCAACCCTCAGCCCCCTTCTCTGCGCCCTAAATATAAAGCGGTCCAGTCCACCAGCTGCTGTCTGTATCTCTAATTATAGCCTCTGCAGCGCAGGCTCCCAGGGCAGGACTGGGGGTCAGGTTTCTCCTTCCCACTGCGCACC